TGAAACTTGATAACTGAACTGGTTTTTATTTACTATGTCTGAAAATGTAGTTGGGTGATTTGGACTGAGAGTAATGATTTTACAAAAGTGAGCTTGGACAGAGGACAAGAGCTAGAGTTTTATAATTGTTTACTTCATATTTACTATGTCTGAAATACAGAGGGTAAAAATTTCAGGGAAATTGATGGTTTATTTACAAAGATATGAAAGAGAACTAAGGCGGGGACGAGAGCTGGAGCTCAGTAACTGACTTGATCTTATTTACTAACTTTGAAGTATGTCTGCTTTTAATTTTAGGGAAATTGATGGGTTATTTACAAAGATACGAAAGAGAATTAAGGCGGGGACGAGAGCTGGAGCTCGATAACTATTTTGATTTTATTTACGGTGTCTGAAATACAGAGGGTAGAAATTTCAGGGGAATTGATCTGTTACTAACGAAGATACGAGAGAGAGCTAAGGCGGAGGACAAGAGCTGGAGCTTGGTAACTGTTTTGATCTTATTTACGGTGTCTGAAATACAGAGGGTAGAAATTTCAGGGAATTTGGACTGTTACTAATGATTTTGTACAAATGAACTAAGCTGGGGACAAGAGCTAGAGTTTGATAATTGTTTGCATTTACTAAACTATGTCTGAAATACAGAGGGTAGAAATTTCAGGGAAATTTGGACTGTTACTAATGATTTTGTACAAATGAACTAAGCTGGGGACAAGAGCTAGAGTTTGATAATTGTTTGCATTTACTAAACTATGTCTGAAATACAGAGGGTAGAAATTTCAGGGAAATTGGACTGATACTAACGAAGATACGAGAGAGAGCTAAGGCGGAGGACAAGAGCTGGAGCTTGGTAACTAATTACTGTATTGAACTACATTTGAAATATGATTATTTTAAAATTTTAGAGGGATTGGAATGATAGTATTCTTTATACGACAGGGGACTAAGGTGGGGAACGTGAGCTAGAACTTGCTTACTAACATGATTTATTTGTGTAAAACTGACTTGCTTAATGAAAAGGAGCAAACATACTGACTTGCTTAATGAAAAGGAGCAAACATACGATGTTGGAAAATAGTTGAACTGAATGAAAGGAGAGAGAGAGAGAGAGAGAGGAGGGACGGTCCAGATATTATGGATAAGATAAGATAAGATTAAGAGCCGACTGACTGGCTGGGCGCAAAGTAAATAAAGGTGATGCGACAGATTGCGAGGTAAGGGGGAGAGGGAGGGGGGTGTGATGTACGAAACCCTGAAAACAATGACTTACACAGGTGCTTTTCTAAATTTATATGAATAACTAAGGCTTACATAGACGATTTTGTAAGTTGAAAACATGTAAAATATGTCCGTAGAGTTCTCCTGGAAGCCCTAAAGTGCTACACATGTTATTTGAATTTCTCCCATAAGGCCTTAACAAACTTCTAAGTCTCGGAAATTATTTTTCTTATAAGAACTTTAGCAAACTCGTATGACATTATTTTTCATTATAAGAATTCCCTAATTCTAAATCTGTGACTCCCCAAATTCGCCTGAAAACCCTTGGGGCGCACAGGGGATTTTCTAAATTTACCTGAAACCCTTGGGGCGCACAGGCACTTTTTTTCCCTTTGGACCTGAAACCCTTGGGGCGCACAGGGGATATTCTAAATTTACCTGAAACCCTTGGGGCGCACAGGTACCTTTTTTTCCCAGAAAAAAAAAGGTACCTGTGTGGAGCCATCCCTACTACTCATAGGTCGCCGGGTGGTGTCCCCACCGTCCCAGGTGGTGTCCCCACCGTCCCAGAGACAAAGGTCGCCGGGTGGTGTCCCCACCGTCCCAGAGACAAAGGTCGCCGGGTGGTGTCCCCACCGTCCCAGAGACAAAGGTCGCCGGGTGGTGTCCCCACCGTCCCAGAGATATGGTCGCCAGGTGGTGTCCCCCCCGTCCCAGAGACAAAGGTCGCCAGGTGGTGTCCCCACCGTCCCAGAGACAAAGGTCGCCAGGTGGTGTCCCCACCGTCCCAGAGACAAAGGTCGCCAGGTGGTGTCCCCACCGTCCCAGAGACAAAGGTCGCCGGGTGGTGTCCCCACCGTCCCAGAGACAAAGGTCCCCGGGTGGTGTCCCCACCGTCCCAGAGACAAAGGTCGCTGGGAAACTTAGTACAACCACCTTGAAGACTCTTCAAGAATGTCACAGTTTTAAAGTGTCTGGTGACCTCCCAGCCGTACTCACGTAACACTGAGCTCAAGGTCCCAAAAGACCAACCCGTTCTCGCACTTGCTTATAGTCAATATTGGCTTATTTAATAAGTGCATATGTGACATACTAATTGATTGTAAATATTTTAGTTTACCTTGAAAAGCTTCATAGAAAACACCGACCTCACCTAACCTTCTTAGTATGTTAAGATAAGCATCTTATTGCTTCTTATTTACAATTATTACTTAACCTAGAACGTTGATAGGTTAAGTAACCTATACCGTTGATAGGTTAAGTAATAATTGTAAATAAGAAGCAATAAGATGCTTATCTTAACATACTAAGAAGGTTAGGTGAGGTCGGTGTTTTCTATGAAGCTTTTCAAGGTAAACTAAAATATTCACAATCAATTAGTATTTCACATATGCACTTATTAAATAAGCCAATATTGACAGTAAGCAAATGCGAGAACGGGTTGCAACGACTAGGGCCTGCTCCTAGTCTCAAAACCAAAGTGCAACCCTTCCTCCGAAAAGACAGAACGTTTTAATCTATATAAATAAAAATGTAAATGTTCGTTTGTTCAAAATCGCTAATCTCCGAAAGTTCTTCACCGATTGCTTTGAAATTTTCACACAACGTTCCATTCGCCTCCGAGCAGGTTTTTATATACATACTATATAGATGTCACGTCTGTGACGGTAAAAAAAACACGCTTTTTCTGAAAAAACTGTTTTTCATGTGAGGGAAATCTTCGAAACCTCTTTACCGATTGCTTTGAAATTTTGACACAACGTTGCATTCGAATAGGCGCATATTTTTATATATATACTATATACAAGCCTCACTTGTGACAGGTAAAAACATGCGCTTTTGAAAAACCGCGCCATCTGTTGCACATAAGGGCAACATGCACGCTATACTAAATATGTCACGAATTCCATTTCAATGTTTCCGATTGCATTGATAAATTTAATTTTCATAGATTTCGATTTATTTTATTTTTTAGTGAATTATTTTGTGTGACATTGTGTTGGAATTGAGCTGTGTTGTTTACTATACCGTTCATTTCGTAAGTATAAGTATAGATGCCACACATGTGACAGGTAAAAATTAACTATGCTTTTCTTGAAAACACAGTGCCATCTGTTGCATGTAAGAGCAATACACACGCTATACTAGATGTGTTACAATTCCATTTCAATGTTTCTGATTGCATTGATTAATTGAATTTTCATAGACTTTTATTTATTTTCATTTTGATTCAATTATTTTGTGTGAATTGCATTGGAATTGAGCTGTGTTGTTTATCATACCGTTCATTTCGTGAGTATAATTTATTTTTATATTTTTTCATATTTTCATTTAATTTTTTAACTGTTTTTCTTATATTTCAGTGATGGGAACATTAGATCACTTGATGGTCCCAATTTTCTGATGGGAACATTAGACCATTTGGGAAGGCATCGGACGATGGAGTGGGGATTGGTGGGCACGGGGGGATGGGGAGGACAAAGGGACAGGGGAGTGGGGCATGGTGGAAAGGAAGAGAGGATGGTGGAGTGGGGAATGGTGGGGAGGACGAAAAGACGGGTGAGGGGGGAATGCTGGGGTCTGGGGAACAGGGAAGGTTGTTGTGGCTCAGCAACGCACACGCGTTGCTGAGCCACAGCAACGCGTGGCCGGGTACAGCTGGTACTAAATAATATAAGTACATTCCTAACTGCATAGTACATAAATACAGTTAATTGTGCCCTTACATTTACCTCCCCCATGTATTCTCCTAATTTTGTGTTATAATACACTCAAAATTTTTAGTTTGAAGTTTTTGTATACGATTCTATGAACAAGTTATAAAAATAAAGAATTTATTTTTCAATTTTATTAAACAATAGAGATTTTATGCAAAATTTGAAAATATCCTGAGTTACTTTATAATTTATTGAAAGACTTTAGTTTTGTTTTATTAGTTTTATAAAATTGTAATATCAATATAGCTATAGGTTAAGTTCTAATTGTAATTAAGAAGCAATAAATGCTTAAATGCTTGTCCTCCTACACTCCCAAGGTCGTCTGTGGTCGTGGTTTTCTATACAGCTTTTCAGGTAAACTCTAATATTCACAATATTTTGGTGCGATGCTGGCGATTAAGTGTATTTATGTACTGTGCCGATAGTCAGGAATGTACTTAGTACATTTAGTATTAAAACGTACTGTCTATTCGGAGGAGGGCTGCATGAGGAATAATGAACATTGTCTATACTTTGAGGCATAAGCAATGACGAAATACCATTTACTATCCAGGAACAAAACAAAATGTTTTGCTACACAATGCAATAGGAGACAATGTAAGCATTTAGGATTACCGAATACCATAAGACTTTAAAATTAAAAACAAAATGTTTCAATGCTCAACATAATACTCAACAAAACGAAGCCAAATTCTTTTACGTCAACAGGTAGATGATAATATGGAACAGCTTAACAAATGATATTGTTCAAAGAAACACTATAATTTAAAAATAGATTACACAACAAATTTTCTTCAAATCCACCACAAGCTTTCCAATTTCCCAGTTTCTATGTGAACTGTTTTGTAATCAGGGAATGGAACTATATGCTCTAGTTTGTTCATGTTCTTGGTCTCTCTCTCTCTCTCTCTCTCTCTCTCTCTCTCTCTCTCTCTCTCTCTCTCTCTCTCTCTCTCTCTCTCTCTCTCTCTCTCTCCCTCTCTCTCCCTCTCTCTCCCTCTCTCTCTCACTCTCTCTCCCTCTCTCTCTCTCTCTCACACACACCTGCCTCCCTCCACCCCACAGAGACATGATCCTGGCGGGCACACAACAGTCCGTAGAGCTGAACCTGGCGCTGGAACAGGAGCAGCAGAAGAGCAAGAAGCTGGAGGAGTCCATGAAGAAGCTGGACGACGAGATGCGCCGCACGGACGAGCTCCTCTACCAGATGATTCCCAAGCAGGTGGCCCAGCGGCTCAGGAAGGGCGAGAACCCCGTCGACACCTGCGAGGTCAGTACCTTCCAAGAGAGCACAAACTACACACACAAATCACAACAACGTGATATATCAAATGAACACATCCAATATCCCGTGCGTAGGTTCGAACCCTCATCAAGACCTTTGTGGATTTGAGCACAAACTGTTGTTGTGGTTGCAGACCTTCGAGAGTGTGACGATCCTGTTCTCGGACGTGGTGACCTTCACGGAGATCTGCAGCCGCATCACGCCCATGGAGGTGGTCTCCATGCTCAACGCCATGTACTCCATCTTCGACAGACTCACCGAGGAGCACAAAGTATATAAGGTGGGTCCCAGAAGGTGGCTACGCTCAGTGTCAATACCAAGGGTGGCCGGAAAAGTCCCAGAAGGTGTCAATACCAAGGGTGGCCGAAAGAGTCCCAGAAGGTGTCAATACCAAGGGTGGCCGGAAGAGTCCCAGAAGGTGTCAATACCAAGGGTGGCCGGAAGGGTCCCAGAAGGTGTCAATACCAAGGGTGGCCGGAAGGGTCCCAGAAGGTGTCAATACCAAGGGTGGCCGAAAGAGTCCCAGAAGGTGTCAATACCAAGGGTGGCCGAAAGAGTCCCAGGTGTCAATACCAAGGGTGGCCGGAAGGGTCCCAGAAGGTGTCAATACCAAGGGTGGCCGGAAGGGTCCCAGAAGGTGTCAATACCAAGGGTGGCCGAAAGAGTCCCAGAAGGTGTCAATACCAAGGGTGGCCGAAAGAGTCCCAGAAGGTGTCAATACCAAGGGTGGCCGGAAGAGTCCCAGAAGGTGTCAATACCAAGGGTGGCCGGAAAAGTCCCAGAAGGTGTCAATACCAAGGGTGGCCGAAAGAGTCCCAGAAGGTGTCAATACCAAGGGTGGCCGGAAGAGTCCCAGAAGGTGTCAATACCAAGGGTGGCCGGAAAAGTCCCAGAAGGTGTCAATACCAAGGGTGGCCGGAAAAGTCCCAGAAGGTGTCAATACCAAGGGTGGCCGGAAGGGTCCCAGAAGGTGTCAATACCAAGGGTGGCCGAAAGAGTCCCAGAAGGTGTCAATACCAAGGGTGGCCGGAAGGGTCCCAGAAGGTGTCAATACCAAGGGTGGCCGGAAAAGTCCCAGAAGGTGTCAATACCAAGGATGGCCGAAAGAGTCCCAGAAGGTGTCAATACCAAGGGTGGCCGAAAGAGTCCCAGAAGGTGTCAATACCAAGGGTGGCCGGAAGGGTCCCAGAAGGTGTCAATACCAAGGGTGGCCGGAAGGGTCCCAGAAGGTGTCAATACCAAGGGTGGCCGGAAGGGTCCCAGAAGGTGTCAATACCAAGGGTGGCCGAAAGAGTCCCAGAAGGTGTCAATACCAAGGGTGGCCGGAAGAGTCCCAGAAGGTGTCAATACCAAGGGTGGCCGGAAGAGTCCCAGAAGGTGTCAATACCAAGGGTGGCCGGAAGGGTCCCAAAGGTTACAGCGTGTGACTGTGAACTCTGTAATGACCTGCAAGCTATACCTTTGGACTCTGTCATTTCTAAAGATGTATCCGTAATTTCTGATTATACACCCGTACTTTCGTAAAGATTTATAACGCGCTAGTGGTGGAACACTGTGTCACACTGGTGGTGGAACACTGTGTCACACTGGTGGTGGAACACTGTGTCACACTGGTGGTGGAACACTGTCACACTGGTGGTGGAACACTGTGTCACACTGGTGGTGGAACACTGTCACACTGGTGGTGGAACACTGTGTCACACTGGTGGTGGAACACTGTGTCACACTGGTGGTGGAACACTGTGTCACACTGGTGGTGGAACACTGTGTCACACTGGTGGTGGAACACTGTGTCACACTGGTGGTGGAACACTGTGTCACACTGGTGGTGGAACACTGTGTCACACTGGTGGTGGAACACTGTGTCACACTGGTGGTGGAACACTGTGTCACACTGGTGGTGGAACACTGTGTCACACTGGTGGTGGAACACTGTGTCACACTGGTGGTGGAACACTGTGTCACACTGGTGGTGGAACACTGTGTCACACTGGTGGTGGAACACTGTGTCACACTGGTGGTGGAACACTGTGTCACACTGGTGGTGGTGGAACACTGTGTCACACTGGTGGTGGAACACTGTGTCACACTGGTGGTGGAACACTGTGTCACACTGGTGGTGGAACACTGTGTCACACTGGTGGTGGAACACTGTGTCACACTGGTGGTGGAACACTGTGTCACACTGGTGGTGGAACACTGTGTCACACTGGTGGTGGAACACTGTGTCACACTGTCACACTGGTGGTGGAACACTGTGTCACACTGGTGGTGGAACACTGTGTCACACTGGTGGTGGAACACTGTGTCACACTGGTGGTGGAACACTGTGTCACAACACTGTGTCACACTGGTGGTGGAACACTGTGTCACACTGGTGGTGGTACACTGTGTCACACTGGTGGTGGTGGTACAACACTGTGTCACACTGGTGGTGGTGTCACACACACTGTGTGGTGGTGGTGGTACACTGTGTCACACTGGTGGTGGTACACTGTGTCACACTGGTGGTGGAACACTGTGTCACACTGGTGGTGGAACACTGTGTCACACTGGTGGTGGAACACTGTGTCACACTGGTGGTGGAACACTGTGTCACACTGGTGGTGGTACACTGTGTCACACTGGTGGTGGTACACTGTGTCTCACTGGTGGTGGTGGTACACTGGTGGTGGAACACTGTGTCACACTGGTGGTGGTACACTGTGTCTCACTGGTGGTGGTGGTGGTACACTGGTGGTGGTACACTGTGTCTCACTGGTGGTGGTACACTGTGTCTCACTGGTGGTGGTACACTGTGTCACACTGGTGGTACACTGTGTCTCACTGGTGGTGGTACACTGTGTCACACTGGTGGTGGTACACTGTGTCTCACTGGTGGTGGTACACTGTGTCACACTGGTGGTGGAACACTGTGTCACACTGGTGGTGGTACACTGTGTCACACTGGTGGTGGTACACTGTGTCACACTGGTGGTGGTACACTGTGTCACACTGGTGGTGGTACACTGTGTCACACTGGTGGTGGTACACTGTGTCACACTGGTGGTGGTACACTGTGTCACACTGGTGGTGGTGGTACACTGTGTCACACTGGTGGTGGTGGTGGTACACTGTGTCTCACTGGTGGTGGTGGTACACCGTGTCACACTGGTGGTGGAACACTGTGTCACACTGGTGGTGGTACACTGTGTCTCACTGGTGGTGGTGGTACACTGTGTCACACTGGTGGTGGTGGTACACTGTGTCACACTGGTGGTGGTGGTGGTACACTGTGTCTCACTGGTGGTGGTGGTACACTGTGTCACACTGGTGGTGGAACACTGTGTCACACTGGTGGTGGTACACTGTGTCTCACTGGTGGTGGTGGTACACTGTGTCACACTGGTGGTGGTAGTACACTGTATCTCACTGGTGGTGGTGGTACACTGTGTCTCACTGGTGGTGGTGGTACACTGTGTCTCACTGGTGGTGGTGGTACACTGTGTCACACTGGTGGTGGTGGTGGTACACTGTGTCACACTGGTGGTGGTACACTGTGTCACACTGGTGGTGGTACACTGTGTCACACTGGTGGTGGTACACTGTGTCTCACTGGTGGTGCTGGTACACTGTGTCTCACTGGTGGTGGTACACTGTGTCACACTGGTGGTGGTACACTGTGTCACACTGGTGGTGGTACACTGTGTCACACTGGTGGTGGTTCACTGTGTCACACTGGTGGTGGTACACTGTGTCTCACTGGTGGTGGTGGTACACTGTGTCACACTGGTGGTGGTACACTGTGTCTCACTGGTGGTGGTACACTGTGTCACACTGGTGGTGGTGGTACACTGTGTCACACTGTTGGTGGTGGTACACTGTGTCTCACTGGTGGTGGTAGTACACTGTGTCTCACTGGTGGTGGTGGTACACTGTGTCTCACTGGTGGTGGTGGTACACTGTGTCTCACTGGTGGTGGTGGTACACTGTGTCACACTGGTGGTGGTAGTACACTGTGTCTCAATGGTGGTGGTGGTACACTGTGTCTCACTGGTGGTGGTGGTACACTGTGTCACACTGGTGGTGGTACACTGTGTCTCACTGGTGGTGCTGGTACACTGTGTCTCACTGGTGGTGGTACACTGTGTCACACTGGTGGTGGTACACTGTGTCTCACTGGTGGTGGTACACTGTGTCTCACTGGTGGTGGTGGTACACTGTGTCACACTGGAGATAGTACACTGTGTCACACTGGTGGTGGTACACTGTGTCTCACTGGTGGTGGTACACTGTATCACACTGGAGATAGTACACTGTGTCACACTGGTGGTGGTACACTGTGTGACACTGGTGGTAGTACACTGTATCACACTGGAAGTAATACACTGTGTCACACTGGATGTAGTACACTGTGTCACACTGGAGGTAGTACACTGTGTCACACTGGAGGTAATACAGTGTCACACTGTAGGTAGTACACTGTGTCACACTGGAGGTAGTTCACTGTGTCACACTGGTGTTGGTACACTGTGTCACACTGGAAATAGTACACTGTGTCACACTGGTGGGGGTACACTGTGTCACACTGGAGGTAGTACACTGTGTCACACTGGAGGTAATACACTGTGTCACACTGTAGGTAGTACACTGTGTCACACTGAAGGTAGTACACTGTGTCACACTGGTGTTGGTACACTGTGTCACACTGTGTCACACTGGAGGTAGTACACTGTGTCACACTGGAAATAGTACACTGTGTCACACTGGTGGGGGTACACTGTGTCACACTGGAGGTAGTACACTGTGTCACACTGGAGATAGTACACTGTGTCACACTGGTGGTGGTACACTGTGTCACACTGGTGGTGGTGGTACACTGTGTCACACTGGTGGTGGTGGTACACTGTGTCACACTGGTGGTGGAACACTGTGTCACACTGGTGGTGGTGGTACACTGTGTCACACTGGTGGTGGTGGTACACTGTGTCACACTGGTGGTGGTGGTACACTGTGTCACACTGGTGGTGGTGGTACACTGTGTCACACTGGTGGTGGTGGTACACTGTGTCACACTGGTGGTGGTGGTACACTGTGCCGGCCTCTCACCACCTCACACGAGCCGTCATCACACACACATAACACGTGTACTGACGAGGGTGCCTGCCGCAGGTGGAGACCATAGGGGATGCCTACATGGTGGTGGCCGGGGCCCCGGAGCGACAGACCAACCACGGGGAGATGGTGTGCAACATGGCCCTGGACATGGTCGAGGCCATCACCGAGCTCACCGACCCCTCCACAGGTCAGTACACCTGTGCTGCTCCACATTTCCTCGCTCTATCCACCCCCATCAAAAAATGTGAATATTGGTAAATAAATAACAAATACGAATATTTCAGAATGAGACCTTTACAACGCGTATCTAATTTTATCATCCTCTATTACCCCCTTCCTCGCTTCCTCTCCACCGTGGGCGTGCCGTGGGCGTGCAGGGAACCACCTTCGGATACGTGTGGGCGTGCACACAGGCATGGTGGTAGCGGGCGTGGTTGGGCTAAAGATGCCTCGCTACTGCCTATTCGGCGACGCCGTCAACACAGGTGAGTTCTTCCACTAATCCGAACTCTCACTTATACGGATTTTCGAGAAATTGGCTCTAAGCATCGCGGATTGGCCGCTGTACTCATTCGTATATATGAACCCAACCTTCGTAGTCAATGTTTGCATTACATTATATTACTGGGTTAGTATATCAACTTTTGTTCTTATTTGGGAACACTGGCAGAACAAAACTCACTTGTGCAAAGCTTCAGTTAACCGGACCCTTAGATGTGTGGACGGTGTGTTCAGTAGGCAAGGTCTTCCAGGGTTGTGTTAGCTCTTTCTTCAGTGAAACTCCACTTTTCAGCTAAACTCTTGTTATTTTCAGCTAAACTCTTGTTATTTTCAGCTAAACTCTTGTTATTTTCAGCTAAACTCTTGTTATTTTCAGCTAAACTCTTGACGTTTCGTGCACTGTGTTCATACTTGGGTTGTCTCAATTTCTGACTCCTCACACATCTTTGAATCCGGAATATTGATACACAGAACGACAGCATTCCACGCACCCAGTAATATTATCCTTCTATCAGTCTTGATCTCGGTAATATTGTCCTCGTATTAGTCTTCCTCCATGTAATGTTATCTTCCTCCCAGCATTTTTATCATCCTCCAATTATTATCATCTTTCGCACAGTAATATAGTCTTTATTATTTTTTCTTGAGGACATCAGTAGGAGCCGTGAAGAGGATTCGAACTTATGTTCTGGGTACTCCCAAGCACACACCACTGCATGGTCAAAAGCAATGCACCCTGGGATTCAACTGAATCCTCTAAGGGACCTGAGGATGACACTGAAGCCTAATCAGGGTTCATTGACTCTGGACATGCGTGAAACAGTTTCACTCGTTTCACGAATGCACTCTGGTCGAATTCTTCTATTTAAAGAACATTGGTCGATTTCTTTGAAGAGAAACGCTATAAGTAGAAGTCCTCAAATTCGGATTTACGAATTTCGCAAATTGCTCACATTTTCGGTTTTCTGGTAAATTGACAATTTCAAATTTTAGGTATCCGGCACCGAGCTGTTGACTCGGTGGACTTTAAGCCGTTATCAACACTGTATTTTTAACTTTAAATCGCTGTTGATCAGAACCCTCAATTATCCGCACCCAAAATAAATGTTGAGTAAACGATGCAAGAAACAGCCATGGAAATTTTATCTTTTAAATTAATTTCATAAACGCGCTGTCCCATTAACCGGAGTGCTTTTAATGAGGTTGTGTTTCAGCCTGTACTAACTTAACCGAATTTTCAATCAACTGGAAATTACTCATATGATCAGAACATTAATCACAAGCCGATATTGTTGCTACTTTCATTAACGAATTCCGGTTAGGTCAACAAAATACGGATGTAGGAGATGAAATTTAGTTTACAATAGAAAGGGAGTACTTAGTCAGGCTGGAAAAAGGTGGTACTTTCTCCCCTTGGCTTCGGAGACAAGCACACACAACGCATTACAGGCGATTTTTTTGTCTTCTAGAATGAAGTTTCCCATGCTCTTTTGTCCTTCCCTATTCTCTTCCTTTTGTGTTTTGTTTTGCCTTATTGGATATTTAAAGGTTACAGGTTGTACATTTGTCCTACAATCAGTGTTTAAAAGTTGTGGCTCTCTTAGAGCTCCTCCGCTTCCAGACGACCAAGGATGAAGAAGGCAATTCCCCTCTGGATCGCCACGCTGAGGCGTTGAAACAGGAAACTTGCAGCCCTTGAGTCTCTGCTGATGTCAACGAGCCTGGAACCCAATTCTTTGAGAAAGCCCAAGGCACTCCTTCCAAAGGGGCCAAGCACCTTACACTATGGAAATAAAGTTGTCTTGACCTTCCAGTCGCCTGTACTTGATTGACTTTGCAGTTTAACTGTGGTTGGCCACACTCCTGTTTGATCAGCACCAATATATATATATACATATATATATATATATATATATATATATATATATATATATATATATATATATATATATATATATATATATATATATATATATATGTGTCTGCCAGTGTGGATACACGTGTACAGTTCCGCACCAGCTGTCTGCCCCTCTTCCAGGGGTATATTGTGATGCCAACTGGGCGAAGTGTGGGGTCATCCGGGTTTTGGTCCCCTAGGATGTGGGGTTTTTTCTCTCTCTCTCTCTCTCTCTCTCTCTCTCTCTCTCTCTCTCTCTCTCTCTCTCTCTCTCTCTCTCTCTCTCTCTCTGCTGGGCACTGAGTTGAGGCAAGGCTCCTCTTGATGGTGTTATTCACCTAGTTGTGTCTTGCATGCCAGCTCCTGGAGCTTCTGCAGTGCAACCCACACAGTCCATATTGGTCTGCTTCCACCCTGTTGCAAATACACTTGTAATCGGTGTGAATTGGGGCACCAAGGCGGAGGGTCACTGCTACACGAAGGGATTCTGGATCTAGACGCGTGTCTGTTGCTGACATGGGTACTGCCAGAAGGAAGTCCCCTGCATGGGAGGAGAGGCACTGCTCTGAGGCAGGCTTCCTCTTTATATATATATATATATATATATATATATATATATATATATATATATATATATATATATATATATATATATATATATATATATATATATATATTGTGACGGTAACGTGTTGGTGTTCGGCTGTTTCAAAAGCACATAAAGAAACAAAAAGAGAAAATCTGGAACTTTCGTCTGTGGTAAGGTAATGGGAAGACACACAAAACACAAGTAAATTTAACAATGAAATTTTAATTACGTTAGAAAAGCAAAACATGAATAAAATGGACATAAAAATTGTAACATAAATCAATCAAACAAAATAATAAGAATAATCACTGGCAAAATGAAAAGTTACGTTAAGACAAGTGAATAATATACAAGGAGATATATGAGTGCAGGAATATTGGCTTTAAGCTGCCACCTCTCTTAGTACACGTAAGCCAGGGCTTAGTCTACCAATGAGACGTGTTAACTTGTGGAAAGCACGGGATATTCTGATGACTGTAGGTCGTGGTGGCCCAGACATCAGCTAGTGTGGCGGGTGGAGGGAGCAGGTGCGACGGCACCAGCCAATCAGCGATGTGCAGGCGACGGACAAGTAGTTTGCTGGTTTGAGTGGCGGAGGTGGAGCAGGTGTTCCCGGTGCTGAATACGTTTGCTCTCTGGGCAAACCTTGGTGTTGTACTTGTTGGATATATCTTCTATATTAGTTGTTATTGTTGTTATTAGTTGTATAGGGACGTACTTAGGAGGGAAGAGCAGGCTCAATCTCTCTTGAAGGAGATTATCGTCACAATATATATATATATATATATATATATATATATATATATATATATATATATATATATATATATATATATATATATATATGACCCCACACCTCCCTCCCCCACAAAGTACCGACCCCACACACCCCCTCCCCCACAAAGTACCGACCCCACACCACCCCTCCCCCACAAAGTACTGACCCCACACCCCCGTCCCCCACAAAGTACTGACCCCCCACCCTGACGTGTCTACAGCGTCTCGCATGGAGTCGACGAGCGAGGCGATGCGGGTTCACATCTCTCAGGCGACGAAGGACATCATCTCGGCCCGGTACCAGGTCGAGGAGCGGGGCGAGGTCACCGTCAAGGGCAAAGGTCAGTCCTCGGCCACACCTTCACCTCTCACAAAGTCTTCTCATCTTCACCTCTCACAAAGTCTTCTCACTTTCACCTCTCACAAAGTCTTCTCACCCTCACCTCTCACAAAGTCTTCTCATCTTCACCTCTCACAAAGTCTTCTCACTTTCACCTCTCACAAAGTCTTCTCACACTTCACCTCTCACAAAGTCTTCTCATCTTCACCTCTCACAAAGTCTTCTCATATTCACCTCTCACAAAGTCTTCTCATCTTCATCTCTCACAAAGTCTTCTCATATTCACCTCTCACAAAGTCTTCTCACTTTCACCTCTCACCAAGTCTTCTCACACTTCACCTCTCACAAAGTCTTCTCATCTTCACCTCTCACAAAGTCTTCTCACACTTCAAGATGAATCGTTCTGCTTACCTCAGAGCAGCATTTACAACATATTGTCTTATTTTGCATCCTTATTTTATATTCATCTTTTTTTATATATTTTAAATCAGTATTTACATATAATTATTTATATTCTAAACGAATATTTTACAACTATTTTGTTTATTTTGTGTCAGTGTTTATATATCAAATATTTTATTTCCCATCAGTGTTTACCGGTCATCACGTTTCTTTACGCCGGTGTTTACACACCAATTTGTTATTTAATATTATAATTTACAGACTAATTTGTTTAGTTTCAAGTCAAATTATATTCCTTGATTTCTTCTGTCTCTGAAATGTTTTTATTTTTCACAAATCTTTGCTTTTCGTCGCTGGAGAAAAAAAAAATTTATTATAAAATACAAAGACTTCAATACAAATTCCCGCCTCCGCTCTCATATAATTACAACTTCAGGCTTAATAAACTACTTCAGTAACACGTCTGAGAGCTTATTTTGTTGCTAAAGTCTGACAAACAACGGCTGAGAAACCAATCTCGCCCCGGCACCCAAAAGCATAAGATTGAACACATTTGAACAAAATAACATTTTACAATTTGTTTGATTTTTTGATTTTGTAATTGTTTTTTTATTTCTTAATTCAGTAATTGTTCTTTTTTTGTTTAATTTAGTAATTTGTTTAAATGTTACTCTCATGATTTAGGGTCCTGGAGCTTCTCTTCTCATAATGGTGACAGTGGTTGAACTGTTACCAAGAATGTTTACCTTATGTGTGTAGCAGTCGGGGAGGGGCGTAGAGGGAGGGAGGGGAAGGATGGGGGATGGGAGGGGTGAGGGAGGGGAAGAGAGGGAAGCAGGGAGAAGAGGGAGTGGAAAAGAATATTAGTCCCAGAATTTACTTGAGCAGGTCGCGTGTCGCCGTGACCAGAAAAGGGTGTGGTCGTGGCCAGAAAGGGTGTGGTCGTGGCCAGAAAGGGTGTGGTCGTGGCCAGAAAGGGTGTGGTCGTGGCCACATCTGGTGTAGTCTCGACTAGATCGGGTGTGGTATTGACCAGGTTGGGTGTAGTCATGTCTAGGTCGGTGTGGTCTGACCACCAGGTCGGGTGTGGTCTGACCACCAGGTCGGGTGTGGTCTAATCAAGTCAGGTGTGGTAAAATCAAGTCAGGTGTGGTCTAAGCAGGTCGGGTGTAGTATTAACCCCGTCAGGTTGTGTGTTCTTCACTAGGTTGCGGGTATACTCTATAGCGACCAGGTCGGGGTCTAGTAATAACGACCAGGTTGGATGTGGTCTTGACGACCAGATCTGATGTGACCTTGACGACCAGGTCGGGATTATACCTGACGACCAGGCGAGAGTTATATATAACCTGCACAAGGTGTGGCCATCACCAGCGCCGCCTCTACACGCCTCTACACGCCTCTACGCGCCTCTACGCGCCTCTACACGAGGTCCGCTTCACATTCGGACAGTCAACACAACGCCTCATTCTGGCCACCACGTGACTTGAAATTCTTATTCCTTGACATTTTCTCTCCGTAGTTGCGATAAAAGTTTAATATGCAACATATTTTGCAGGAAATTGTCCAAGAGGCTTGGTAACTTTCTGCTTACCAGTATGCAGGCGCACGGTGGCAGTGAGTAAGTAACAGGCTTTCTTTGACACTAATATTAAAGTATAATATTCTCTTACAAGTTCTTCCGCAAGTTACTGTGATAACTGACTGTTTTAAACCTGTTCTAAACACTAATGCAACGTAACTCTTACACGTGAAACTTCGTAGTGAGATGAATGTCAGTTTTAGCTCTTGCCATAGACGCCAGCGTCTTCCTCAGGGGGTGTAAGACAAGACGCTTGCCGTGGCAACTGGGGAGGAGGGGAAGAAAGGGGGAGGGAAGGGAAACGGCAACTTGGTTCGTGATGTGGCAAGAGGGTCAGATTAAGTCCACCCACTTCGGTAGTGTGGTCAGATTAAGTCCACCCACTGCGGTAGTGTGGTCAGATTAAGTCCACCCACTGCGGTAGTGTGGTCAGATTAAGTCCACCCACTGCGGTAGTGTGGTCAGATTAAGTCCACCCACTGCGGTAGTGTGGTCAGATTAAGTCCACCCACTGCGGTAGTGTGGTCAGGTCAACTCCACCCACTGCGGTAGTGTGGTCAGATCAACTCCACCCACTGTGGTAGTGTGGTCAGGTCAACTCCACCCACTGCGGTAGTGTGGTCAGATTAAGTCCACCCACTGCGGTAGTGTGGTCAGATCAACTCCACCCACTGCGGTAGTGTGGTCAGGTCAACTCCACCCACTGCGGTAGTGTGGTCAGATCAACTCCACCCACTGCGGTAGTGTGGTCAGGTCAACTCCACCCACTGTGGTAGTGTGGTCAGATCAACTCCACTCACTGTGGTAGTGTGGTCAGATCAACTCCACCCACTGCGGTAGTGTGGTCAGATCAACTCCACCCACTGTGGTAGTGTGGTCAGGTTAACTCCACCCACTGTGGTAGTGTGGTCAGATCCACTCCACCCACTGTGGTAGTGTGGTCAGATCAACTCCACCCACTGTGGTAGTGTGGTCAGATCCACTCCATCCACTGCGGTAGTGTGGTCAGATCCACTCCATCCACTGTGGTAGTGTGGTCAGATCCACTCCATCCACTGTGGTAGTGTGGTCAGGTCAACTCCACCCACTGTGGTAGTGTGGTCAGATCCACTCCAAGATTCCGGTACACCTTACTTTAACTGACCGTTTGGTAATTAACACAGCCGAGGTAGTAGGGTGGTGTGTGGAGCTTGGTCTGGGGAGGTGCAGGTCCCTCAAGCACGCGCCAGGCTCAGGTGGTGCTCGTCCAAGCTTCCCCCGATCCAAAACGCGCATTCAACATATTTTCCGTATCATGTGATGCAAAGGGGAATTGCCTCAGATATTTGTAAATATTGTAATATTTTATAGTTTGTTGTATAATTACTAAGGTCTGGAAGAGGCAGTGTTATGTGTTTTGGTTCTATTCGTGGAAACACAAACCGAAACTGTCTGTTTTCCGCTTGTTACCACTTGTAATGAAGTTGCTACATCTTGGCTTAACGTGTTTAAGACGTATTAGAACGTTGTTACAACTTGCTATATTGGTTGTTATAACTTGTTAGGTGTTAAAACTTGTTCGAACGTTGTACCATCGTCGTAGTTTCGCTGTGTTTGCTGGGAGCTCTTGACAATTGTGTTGCATTTGCAGTTTGGTTGTGAACGGTTCAGAGATGTTAGGTTCCAACACGTGAAATTAGCTAGGCACGGTTCACGAGAAGGGTTCACGTGCAAAAGTTGTAAATCACGTGTAAAGTATTTTTCATGTCCAGTCATTAACAGCCTGTTGTTAGACCAGGCTCGTTATAGGAGCGGTCCGTTCCTAAGACGTATTCATCAATCTTAAAATAAATCATCTCTCCTTCATCTATTTTACTATAGAGGTGTTACACTATCTTAGGCCTAATATAGTGCATGTATGTACTATATTAGGCACAGGAATGTTATAAGTTTGGTTTGTGGAGTTGGTTCGTGCACGTTACAAAATTAATAGTACGAAACGTGAACACTGCTGTAACAGTCCATTTTTGTACGGTCGACCAAACAGTTCCTATAAGTACTATCTTTTTAGGAGGATGGGTTATAATAATAATAAAAATAATAAGAAGTAGAAGAAGATGAAGAAGAAGATGAAGAAGAAGATGAAGAAGAAGATGAAGAAGAAGACGGTGGGCAAATAAAGGCGTGACAGAGCAGGTCTTCACAGGTTAAGACATCAGAAAACGAACCCTCTTAATTTTACGGTTGCTTCAGATGGTGTATGGCTCTATGTGGCCCACGCTCACCACCTGTCCACACCACCTGTCCTCACCACCTGTCCACACCACCTGTCCACACCACCTGTCCTCACCACCTGTCCACACCACCTGTCCTCACCACCTGTCCACACCACCTGTCCTCACCACCTGTCCACACCACCTGTCCACACCACCTGTCCACACCACCTGTCCACACCACCTGTCCACACCACCTGTCCACACCACCTGTCCACACCACCTGTCCACACCACCTGTCCTCACCACCTGTCCACACCACCTGTCCTCACCACCTGTCCACACCACCTGTCCTCACCACCTGTCCACACCACCTGTCCACACCACCTGTCCACACCACCTGTCCACACCACCTGTCCACACCACCTGTCCTCACCACCTGTCCACACCACCTGTCCTCACCACCTGTCCACACCACCTGTCCACACCACCTGTCCTCACCACCTGTCCACACCACCTGTCCACACCACCTGTCCACACCACCTGTCCACACCACCTCTCCACACCACCTGTCCACACCACCTGTCCACACCACCTGTCCACACCACCTGTCCACACCACCTGTCCTCACCACCTGTCCTCACCACCTGTCCACACCACCTGTCCACACCACCTGTCCACACCACCTGTCCACACCACCTGTCCTCACCACCTGTCCACACCACCTGTCCACACCACCTGTCCACACCACCTGTCCACACCACCTGTCCACACCACCTGTCCTCACCACCTGTCCACACCACCTGTCCACACCACCTCTCCACACCACCTGTCCACACCACCTGTCCACACCACCTGTCCACACCACCTGTCCACACCACCTGTCCACACCACCTGTCCACACCACCTGTCCTCACCACCTGTCCACACCACCTGTCCACACCACCTGTCCTCACCACCTGTCCACACCACCTGTCCACACCATCTATCCACACCACCTGCCCATACCACCTGTCCACACCACCTGTCCACACCACCTGTCTTAGCACCAGGACTCCTCCTACTTTCCCCTATCTCCCCCTGCCTCCCTCTGACTCCCCTCTACCTCCTTCTACCCTTCATGCCTCCCTATACCTCCTCCCTCCCCTGCTTCACTCTACCTCCTCTCTCTCTCTCTGCCTCCCCCTACCTCCTCTTCCTGCAACCCCTTCCCCCTTTGTCCATCATCCTCCACCCCCTGCCTGGCTCTACCCCATCCCCCCTGGATCTACCCCCTTTCCCCCCCTAGCTCTACCCCCCTCCCCTCACTGGCTCTACCCCTGGTGAGAGGTGAGGGCCGCACCATAAGGGCTGATGGCATGCAGGAGAGTGGGAGGAGACAGTGAGATATACGAGCTCTTATGAGTAATATCTCCCATGTTGAACTCCCTTATAACTCCACACACATTTTATTACTGACACTATGTTAGGAACTTTAGCAGGTCCGTGCCTTATACTTTGTTGTACAACCTGCTTTACAGGTCCGTGCCTTATACTTTGTTATACAACACACGCTAGCACACTAGCTACTAGCACTAGGGACCACCTGACACACACTAGCTACTAGCACTAGGGACCACCAGACACACACTAGCACTAGGGACCACCAGACACACACTAGCACACTAGCACTAGGGACCACCAGACACACACTAGCACACTAGCACTAAGGACCACCAGACACACACTAGCACACTAGCACTAGGGACCACCAGACACACACTAGCACAAGGGACCACCAGACACACACTAGCACACCAGCACTAAGGACCACCAGACACACACTAGCACACTAGCACTAGGGACCACCAGACACACACTAGCACTAGAGACCACCAGACACACTAGCTACTAGCACTAGGGACCACCAGACACACACTAGCACTAGGGACCACCAGACACGCACTAGGGACCACCAGACACACTAGCTACTAGCACTAGGGACCACCAGACACACACTAGCTACTAGCACTAGGGACCACCAGACACACTAGCTACTAGCACTAGAGACCACCAGACACACTAGCTACTAGCACTAGGGACCACCAGACACACACTAGCATTAGGGACCACCAGACACACACTAGCACACTAGCACTAGGGACCACAAGACACACACTAGCACTAGGGACCACCAGACACACACTAGCACTAGGGACCACCAGACACACACTAGCACACTAGCACTAGGGACCACCAGACACACACTAGCACTAGGGACCACCAGACACACACTAGCACACTAGCACTAGGGACCACCAGACACACACTAGCACACTAGCACTAGGGACCACCAGACACACACTAGCACTAGGGACCACCAGACACACACTAGCACACTAGCACTAGGGACCACCAGATACACACTAGCACACTAGCACTAGGGACCACCAGACACACACTAGCACTAGGGACCACCAGACACACACTAGCACTAGGGACCACCAGACACACACTAGCACACTAGCACTAGGGACCACCAGACACACACTAGCACTAGGGACCACCAGACACACACTAGCACACTAGCACTAGGGACCACCAGACACACACTAGCACTAGGGACCACCAGACACACACTAGCACACTAGCACTAGGGACCACCAGACACACTAGCTACTAGCACTAGGGACCACCAAACACACACTAGCACACTAGCACTAGGGACCACCAGACACACACTAGCACACTAGCACTAGGGACCACCAGACACACACTAGCACACTAGCACTAGGGACCACCAGACACACACTAGCACTAGGGACCACCAGACACACACTAGCACACTAGCACTAGGGACCACCAGAC